TATATGAGATAGAATCAATTTACATCGGTATAAGAATAATAAGTCATACACCAAATCATAACTGTTAGATGTACGAAAATCAGTGGTTATGATTTGATATAAGATTTATTATTCTTATATTGATATAAGATGATCCTACCCCTCTAATTAACAGTATATTAATTGGAATGGTTTTTATAATTAACAGCTATGATGCACTGACGCTTCAAAATCCTGACATATCGTGTCCGACACACTCTGACACTCCGATACTTCCCAATACTCCAACATGCATCGCAAAGACTCAAAAAAGGGTTCAAAATTTAAGTTGTTTTGCACTTTTAGTTGTTACTATTAGATTCGTTAGATTACGATTACCATTTTTATTGAGTTTAATATAAATATTTGGGATATCTTATATTTCTTTGCAAAATTAATGGGTATTATAAGTCTGGCTTCATTTTTTTGTTAAATTATTGAATATTAAATACAATACACATTATATAAATTAATAAAATTATTTAATATCAAAACGTGTCAAAATCTAAGATTTTTTAAAATTAACGTATTGAATGTCATGTCATGTCATATTCTCTGTTCCTATCAATATGAGTGTAACTTAGATTAATAATATATTATTAAGAGAACACAAATTTGAAAACGATAATTTTAATATCTAAAGGCTCCAAAGAGCGCCCATGGAATCACATGTTCCCTGTATCTAATGTTCCTATGGAAATAATCACCTATAAATAATGGCCTCTTTAAGTGCTACAATGCTGTTGTCTCTATATGCAGCCTCCATCTAGAAACCAGAAACCATAAGGGAAGAGTGAACAATGAATTATATGGGTTTGAGAATAATATAAATAGGTAGAATATTTTTACTATTAATTTTTTCTACTGTCAATTTACTATCACTTTAATCACCGTTAGATTTTACTTTTTAGCCGACAATCTCTGAAAAGTTTATGAAAAAAAAACAATTTTTAATGTACTTTTTGGATTACATAATTATATTAAAATGATAGTACAAAAAAAATGATAGTATGAAAATCTTACCTCTAATTAGGGGTGCTACAAACTAGGGGCCTTTCAGAGGCCTTTGGCTCGTGAATGCCTGAGCTTACATGTCTAAAATTGATTGTTGGCATCATGCTTGGACTTGTATAAAAGCTCGTTTAATAAAAATGCCTTAGGCTCCAATTTAAAAGCTCGGCCTTAAAGTCTCTCAGGCAGGTCTAGTATATTATTTTTTATTTATATTTTATATTTTTTATACTACTTGTAATAGCTCTATCTTTTTCCTCAATCCATTTCACCCTATTTTATTGGTTAAACAAATTTTTTGAATGATTTTGTTTTATATTATGTTGTTTGGATATAAATTGAATTTGTGAATATTCATGGAATTACTAGTTTTGTTGATTGTATATTCTGTTTGGATAAATTTTTGTTGTCTTATTTTTTATAAACAGGCTAAACAAGACTTTTATTTTTTTGTAAATAAGTCAGGCCACAGGCCGATAGTTATATTTATAACAGGTAACAACAGGCTTGATCAGAATGACACATTTAAACACATGCTTAGCCTTGTAAGACCAAAGCTCGGCTTGGCCCGTTAACGCCCTTATCTCTAATATAAATCATTAAAAAATCATCACCTAATAACTTAAGCTTTGAAGCGTTGAAATAGTTCTTCAATCTGTTTTGTGTGTTATGTTGTCTTTCTCTTTTGGTTACCAATACTTCTTTATATTTCTGAACTTATCATCTCTCCCCTTGTCTTCTCCACATATATAACCAAAGTCCGAAAGGTTCAAAACAAAACCATAACCTGCTTCAGGGCTTTTACCAAACTAAGTAATGCACGCTCCTATATATATTCAGCCCCTCATTTATTTTGCTTCTTCTCAGATACTGACAACTTTGGTGATTGACGACAATGCATCACGTTTTTAATTGCCATTTGCCTCAAATGCCCTTTCATTTCCCTTTTCCCCCCAACACCCTTTTTTGTTTTCATTTCTTTCTTTTGTGTTTTTGGGTGTTAAAATTGACAGAGAGATTTTCCAATTTTTTTTGTTGTTGACAGAAATCTCTTTAATTTATCAACTAACTTAGAAAAATGATACATTTTTTATGCGTATATGTTTGGTTGTTGAAATTGGATTTAAACGTTAAATTGTTATTATTTGCAATACCCCCCCACCGCGTAAACTACCAGAACTGAGGAGATCAAGTTGAGGGTCGTCCGCTAAAAACAAAAACAAAATGATTTAGTTGGGATTTCAATATGAAACAGTCATAAAAAAGAACATTGTGTAATTTAACCTATGACTTTGTTCTTCGTAATAATTCCACTAGTTGCACAATAAATGATTTTCTATTAGTGAAATAAACATGTAATTTTATAAACAATAAAATTCTTTAAAAAAAATTAATTGGTATATAATTTTTCTTAATATGGAAAAGAAAATTTTACATAAAGTTGGGTGTTCGCGATCTGGATTAAATCGGTTTAGAAATAAAAATTATCTGATTCAGTCCCTTCGGTTTCATAATTTAATCATCTATTCGGTTTGAATTTTTTTTAAAAATCCAATCTAATCCAATTTTATTTGATTTGGATTTGATCGATTTTTTAATTTTTTGAAAAGTTTAAAAACTTCAGCCAGATAAATTACTAGCTATATCAAAATAAAGTCATACAAATTTATAAACTACTGAAGAACTCAAATCTTCAAACTAAAACAAGTCTTAAAGCTTATGAAGAGTTAAAATAAATTAATAGATAATAAAAAACTAAAACAAAGTAATTTGTTATCAATAACATCCTAGATTCCAAGTTTACAAAATAACAAAATTCAAAGTCATCATTTTTCAAAAATAATAAATATATAATGTATTGGATCGGTTTGAATGTGATAGATTTTTACCAACTAAACCAAAAACTGATACAATCCAATTAAAATATGTGATTTTTATCTTATTTTTGATTTTTCAATTTTCAGTTAATTTGATTATCGATTTTTGATTTGATCACCGTAATTTAAATAGGTTTAGATCGATTGATGAACACCCCTAACATCAACACTAACGAAGGGGACCACAAAGGAAAACACACCAACGGAGACGGGCAACGTATTAATACATTTTGTGGAAGACTTAGACTTTCCAACTGTCATCCGCCTTCCTTCTTAAATCCATCCAATTAATAACTACATTTATAGCCGCCTGATTAACCAAAAAGAGAAAAAGGTCAAAAAAGAAAAACACATTGCAATTTTGCATGTGCATGTTGCCCTTTCGGCACCTCTCTCACCATGATTTCAATCAAAACATCTAGATGTAGTAAAATATGTATTCTTTGAAGTTTTAGAATCTGAACACCCATGGGTCAAACACAGATACACTGGACAAAAATATGTTCGTTTACCGGCCCAAACCTTTCAAAACTCTAACTCTAAATTTAAAACAATTATCTTATTATTTATTTTATTTCTCGGTTACCTAAACAAAATCCAATTCCTTTTTTTTTTAATTTTTTTAAAAAAAGGCCAGAAAGTGATTATAATTATGATCGTTTATGCCTTAAAATCCTAACAAAATACAGTTCCACAAAGGGATGCGGAAATTTCGTTCACCGAACTGGTAGGACTATGATGTCACGTAAGTCGAAGAAAGTTTTGATTTTGTTTTCTGTAGTTTCCATTTGTTTTCTTTTCAAAGAGAAGTGAATATTCTGTACTTAAAAAGAAAAAAAAATGAATATTGACCACTGACCAGACCTCGAAGATAATCCTACGTCCATAGACCATAGCCATTCTTTAAACCAACGTCCTTTCCTTTTTAATTTCTTATTAATGATTTCTTGGCCCTACATTACCTTCTAAACCTTTAACCACTTTGGCTTTTATATTCATATTTATGAATTTGAAAAAGAGACATGCTTATATTTTAGGGTTTTATATATGTTATGTAATATAAGAAGAAAAAATTTCTTACTTCGTATTAACATAACATAAATCTTACATATAACTTTTTATAACATAAGGTTTCACATGATTTTATTTTTATGACATAAGAAACTCATTTCATGCAACATGATAAATATAAAATCTTATATTTTAAGAGAAATATTTTTTTTTTTGCTGGAGAAGTTCTTCTCTGATCACTCTCAATTTGATTTTTGTGCCAATTTTTTTTTTTAAGATGAGCTCCAGCTCTTTTATCTCTCTAACATGGAGAAATTTTTTGATGCAACATATATAGATACATTCGTACTAAAAAAAAGGACCGAGTTCAATACTCCTATATTACTAAAAAATTTCCCTCAGCAATAAATCACCAATTTCTAGAAAAGTTAAAAGCCCATATTTTAATTTTAAAAATTTCAAATTGTCGTGCACATAAATCGAATTCAAAAATATTGTTTTAGCTTAGTAGTAAATATAATAATAATAACCCAAATGGTATTTCAGTTGGCGCAATTCAGTGTCTAATAGTTTGCTTTAGTCAGGGTATAAAATGAAATCTGATCAAAGTAAATTCTTAAAAAAATTTGAAGACAAAAGTAAATCGCTTTCGTTTCAAAGGAATTAATCTCATTCTTTTCAAATAATAACGATTTAATACAACATTTATTACAATGAAGAGTTATTCTTAGAAATTGTATTTCGAGAATAAAATAGTCGTATGAATATACCTCTGAGTTATCTAAAAATATATATAATAATAATAGTGGTATTATCAACAACAACAACGTTTAGGAGGCAATCTTCGTTACTAATTAAAATAACAGGAAAAAAGAAAATCCTAATTACGTACATGAACATGATATATAAAGACAAACTCATTAAAAAAAAATGAAAATTATGGATGAGGGCAAAATGGTAAACGTGGGAAAAGTATAGCTGGGAACTTTGAAAGAGAGGCGGGAGGGAGGGACAGATAGACAGTATATAAATAAAGTGGGTGGAACACCAATTTTTTATCACTCACACACTTACACATAATAATCCATTCTGTGACACATCACACTCACAAAGCGAAACGATAATTGTGTTGTGTTGTGTATGCTTTTTTTTTTTCTATTTTATTTTAATTTAATTTGAAAATTTTAGAAAGGAAAGAAAGAAAGAAGAAGAAGGGAAAGGAGAAGAGAGAGTTGAGGAACTGAAATGACGCAATAGCCCCTTGTTATTCTCCTCATTTGAGCTTTTGCTTTTTGTTCTTGGGTTGTTTGTTGAGCGATTCTCTCTGTATTTCTTCACTTAGGTACGCGAATCGAATCTGCTCTTTCGTTTTCCCTATTCCCTCTCTGATCTACGTGTCAAGCCTTCCCCAGAAACTCTTTCGTTTCGAATTTTTTTTTTTTTCATCTTTTTTGGTTTTCCTAAACCGTCTAAGATCGAGGTTCCCAAATTATTAACAAAAACCAGTGTTTTCTGCATTTCTCGCTACTCGAGTGAAGGTTCTCGTTATTTTGTGTTTAGTTTTAATTTTTTTTTTTTAATTTCGAAAAAAAAAAAAATTAGGGCTGGATGGATGCATCGCATTCGTTATGAATTTCGGCACAATGGGGGTTCTGATTTGTTATGTATTGCAATGTTTGTTATTTATATTTTTTGCCTTTTTTTGGTATGGTTATTTTCAGCTTTGGCTTTGTTTACACTCTTCTTGGTTTGCGTTGTTTTGTAGATTCTAAAGTCAGATCTGCACTGGCTTTTCCAGCGAATTTGCTATTCTTTGTGTCTTTTCTGTTTATTTATTTGTTAATTTTATCAACTAAAGTTTTCAATGATCGCTTTGTGTTCGAGGTGGAATCTTTCGTTAGATAAAATTAACTTACCATTTTTTATTTTACATTCACCGAAATTGTTTATCTGCGGTTGGTTTTGAATTGAATTGGGCTTCTTCTTTTGTTTTGGTATAAACCTTTTCCCTCTTTGATTATTTCTGGTAAAAGCTTTGTAGGATTATATAATAGGAATAAAAAAATAATGCTTGTGAGCTCTTTGGTTCTGCATGGAAATTGAGAATCACTACTGGTTAAAGATGCCGGTTGAAGTTCTTAAACGGGAGTTGCAAATGAGAACAAATATATATATATATATATATATATATATATATATATATATATAAAAGAGAATTCTATGGATCTGTTCTGATATTGGGGTTACTGCTGTCTGTAGTTTAGGAAGAAAGGTTTTAAATAACTGCTAAGCCTTGCCTTGTGTGCTCTCCTTTTTACTAGTATTAAAAACAAGTTTGCTTTATTTTTCTCTCTCTCTCTCTCTCTCTCTTTTTTTGCCCTTTTGCTTTTGCCAAAAAAGTATTTGTTATCATACTCTTGTATTTGTGATATAAATGTTATTTTTGTTTGTTATTTGAGTGAAGTATAATGATGTTTCCTGTTGATTCATTTTCCATAGGATTCTTCATTTTGTTATCTTTTCATTTAGTGTTTGCCAATTTTTCCTATTTTCATTTTTTCTCCCCCTTTTTATGGAGGGTGGGAGAGAAGATATGTGTATGTTTTTTTTTTTAACTTGCTTCTAATTTGCATGCAGCCGCTGTAGAAATTCATCATGGTGGCAACTGCTGCAACTTCTTCATTTTTCCCTGTTACTTCATCCTCGCCGGACTCTGGTGCAAAAGGCAACAAACTTGGTGGTGGGCCTGCGAACCTTGGAGGACTTAAATCCAAACATGCTTCTGGTGGCTTGCAAGTTAAGGCAAATGCCCAAGCCCCTCCCAAGATTAATGGAACCTCAGTATCTACTTCTGCAGAAAGCTTGAAGCATGAGGCTGATTCGCCTTCACCTGCCCCTAGAACTTTTATCAATCAGTTACCTGATTGGAGCATGCTTCTTGCTGCTGTCACAACAATTTTCTTGGCTGCAGAAAAGCAGTGGATGATGCTTGATTGGAAGCCAAGGCGACCTGACATGCTTATGGACCCCTTTGGGATAGGAAAAATTGTTCAGGATGGTCTCGTGTTTCGTGAAAACTTTTCTATTAGATCATATGAAATTGGCGCCGATCGAACGGCTTCTATAGAGACAGTAATGAACCATTTGCAGGTATGTCCGTACTCATACAAATGAATCTTTATTTATAATCTTTGGAGATAAACATGTTATAAGTAGGATAGGCTTGTATATTTACTCACTCTGTAGAATTGAAATTCATAATAGCTCTTCCTTAATACTTTTCATACAAGATTATCTCTATTATTTGTTTCATAACAGGAAACTGCACTTAATCATGTTAAGAATGCTGGGCTTCTTGGTGATGGATTTGGTTCCACGCCAGAAATGTGCAAAAGAAATTTGATATGGGTAGTTACTCGGATGCAGGTTGTGGTTGATCGTTATCCTACATGGTAAGTCACCCACCCTCACCCATTATATGTGTGATTTGCATCATTATACATGTTAGGCTGCTATTTCTCTGTTTATTTTAGTGATCTTTATGAGGAATGATGACCCTAAATATCTCACGGTAAATTATTGACAGTTCTGCATTTAATCTGCAGATTATGTATCTTGTTCCTCAGAATTGGCTTTGTAGTTGAGACTTAATTATGAAAGCCATATTACTTGTGAAATTCTTCTGGGATGATGATAGATCTGATATGCATAAGCTTTATGCATGATGAACTATGGGAAGCCTTATCTATAGAGCTGTTAATCTGTATATAAGATGTAATATAGTATTATTTATGGTAAAAAGAGAAGCAGCTGATACTATGTGTACTTTACATCTGTTTTGTTTACTAGATATACCCTCTGTAACTCTTCCATTTGACTACGAGATGTTTAAAGCTTTCAATTATTTTGGCTTCTTGATGTGGATTGAAGTTAGGTAAACTATGTGGGGATTATTATGGATATTCTGAATCTAGTCACTTGAAACTGAGTGTTTATATTTGCTTCAGGGGTGATGTTGTTCAAGTAGACACTTGGGTTTCTGCATCGGGGAAGAATGGCATGCGTCGTGATTGGCTTTTACGTGACTGCAAAACTGGTGAAATCTTGACGAGAGCCTCCAGGTAGAAATCATTTTCTGGAATTTCCCTTCCCATTCCTTCCGCTGCCAACTACAAACATGTTTTAAAATGTGTCTCTGAATGTGCATGAGTGGTAATTGGGCACAATTTTGAATCTTACAATCTTTTGCAAAATTATGGGAACAGTTATTTTCTCTTAAGAAACAAATTTATCACAACTGAAATTTGAAGTATTTATTTTGCATTTGGAAATGTTAAAGGCGATGAACTATAATTTAAGTATATCATATTTTGCAGGTGAAAACCTCTTATTGTTCAATTAGAACTTTGTATCTTAGTTTATTATCAAGTATAAGACTTCATCTTTTACTCATGCATCGCCTTGGAGCTAGTGATTAGTAACGTGTAAGCATTGTCTGATCTGTTGGTTATGGTTTCGATAATCTACAGTGTTTGGGTCATGATGAATAAAGTGACAAGGAGGCTCTCTAAAATTCCTGAAGAAGTCAGAGGGGAGATAGGATCTTATTTTGTGGATTCTGCTCCAATTCTGGAAGAGGATAACAGAAAACTGCCTAAACTTGATGACAATACAGCAGATTATATTCGCAAGGGTTTAAGTGTATGTCAGCTCTTTCTTGTAATTGCTATCATTGATTTATTTTTTCAAATCACCTCTGATGATGTTTTCTAATTAGGTTACTTATTGTATCTGTATTTTCAGCCTAGATGGGGTGATCTAGATGTCAATCAGCATGTTAACAATGTGAAGTACATTGGCTGGATTCTGGAGGTAGTTTTCTATTGTATTCTTATCGACTTCCATACTTGTTTTCTCTTTTTCTCTCTTTCTTTCTTCATTGGGCACGTCTCTTGTGGCCAAGCTTACGTTGAGTCTTACCAAATACCAATCATAAATGCGGAAATCAAATTCTGGGTGGATTTATTAGTGGGAATCACCATCTGGCTAGAATCAGGACTTTAGATGGTTGAGTAATGATACTCAGACATCCAATTTCCTCACAAAAGAACCCTACTTATCAGTCTGTTGGGTCTGTGAGACTAATCAACTGTCTGCAAAGTAAGGGTGTGCTCTTTTGTGAAGGAAATTAGGTCTTTGAATATTATTACTTTTGCAGGTTTATGAAGATGATTGATATCGAAGTTGAGGTCATTCTAATATAAAATATTCAATTAGCTGTAGTGGGTGTGGGCATTCAATGCTTCGTTGGAATTGATTTGTAAGCTAGCGTGTTACGCAGCATGGTGGCTTGAAAATTGAAGTGATATAATTGATAGTAATATGCAGTACCAGGGAGAACACAAAAAATAGAACGGCAGGGTGTGATTTTTTATCTTTTGTGAATCACTTATATTTCCCCCTTTTATTGATTTTTACTTGTTGATTTATTCTTGGAGATAAAAAGCTTGATATGTTTAATTGTTTAGTTTGTTATGCATTGGGTTGATTAGATCAGGCCTCTTAACCAAATGATTATGCTTTGATTGTTGCAGAGTGCTCCCCAGCCAATCTTGGAGAGTCATGAGCTGTCTGCCATGACTCTGGAGTATAGGAGGGAGTGTGGTAAGGACAGTGTGCTGCAGTCCCTGACTGCTGTATCTGGTGCTGACATTGGCAATCTAGCTCACAGTGGACATGTTGAGTGCAAGCATTTGCTTCGACTTGAAGATGGTGCTGAAATTGTGAGGGGTAGGACTGAGTGGAGGCCCAAACGTGTGAACAACTTTGGTACTCTGAATCATGTTCCAGCAGAAAGCGCCTAAGATTTTGAATGGTTAATGGCTGGAGTAGCATCAGACTCCCTGCTATGTTTAAAACTGATTCTGGCCTCTGGAGAGTTTCGCTTGTGTTTGTCCAATCTACATGTCTTTATATATACCTCATAATTTGTGTTACATCGGTGGTTAAGGGAGGGAAAAGTAGCAGGAAGTCTCATTCTCATTCTCATTGTAATTAGCCCCTGCCCGCCCCTCTCTCTCTCTTTCTCTCCGCTCACTATTTCATTTCATTTCTGGTTGCGCTACTGCTAGGCTGTCTTCAATATTTAATTGCTTTATCAAAATAGCTAGGCATGTATATTATTATTCTTTTCTCTTGGCTCTTATAAAGATGCAATTTTTCCTTGTGAACTCAGCACAATTATTATTTTATGTATAGCCTGTAGGCAATAATGACTTGTGCGTCTAATATAACCGTGATTGTATGCTCCAGCTTGTGTGTATGCCAGCGTCCCACATGGGAATTATTGGATGAACAAAATCCCTTCCTCTTCAAGCCTGTTATGACGATACTTATATCTTAATGAGTGAATCTCGGATATGTGGGGGCCTGTACATGTGCTATCCTACGTATTTGTCTAGTCCGCATTTTGTTTGGACCTTATGATTGGGTTCGCGACTTATGCCTTTTTTAATTTAACTATTTTATGATGGAAATTCCTTGCCCCTTGATCCATTCGGAATGTGCCTAAAGTTCCTGTCGACTGATATTCAGTTAATTGAAAATGATTTTTGACTCCGAATATCAAAGGTTATAGCCAAGAGCTGTAAATTAGGTAGCACAAGTCATCACCATTTTGTTCATTACATCATGTCTTACTTTTTTGTTACCAAAAATAACTGTTAAATTTTGATATATTTTTCACACTATTACTTACTCTAGTTAGGAAAATGAGATTTTTTTTTTTTGTCTTTTAGATAATACATGTTTTTTACCGTGTCATATAATATTAGCCTTTTCAGCTTTGCGAGTAGTTGTATGCTTGAATAATTTTTTTTAAAAAGTCATTGCCCCCCAAAGCTTATATGTAATATTAGATGGTTCGGAATAAGATATATATGATTTAATTTGAAAGCGCTTAAAAATCGATGTCTAGCATTATTATTATAGGAGTTTTGATTGTGATGATATTTATATAAGAAGTTTAGTTTTTTTAGTAATAAAATTATATCGGATTGAATAGTAGGGTAAAATAACTTTATAACAAATTAAAATTAGTGTCTATTTGTGAAGTCTTCTTTTTTAACGAAGTTAAGTCAAACAGGTTTTTATAAAAGCTTTTAAAATAAAAGATCTTCTTTTATAACGAAGAAAGAAGTCAAAAGTCAAAAGCTCCTTGAATGAATTTTTTTAAAATTATATTAATTTTTTTGAATATGTGTTTTTTTAAATAATCATCAAATAATTTATAATTATTTTTTTAAATTTTAATTTAAAACTAGCTCTTAAAAAGATGCTGTTAAACTAAAAAAATACATTACGAGAATTCACATGCATATATGTGTAACCGCTCGAATAAAAATATTATATTTACAGGCTTTGTATTCTGAGCCACCTCTTACCCGAATGATTCTAGCTGTAAAATATAGTAATCTAAGGTTCCAACTTCCAAAATAGTCCAAAGGGAAAATTCTTCTAGTCGATTTTAAAAGAAAGAAAAAAAACAGCCATTTGTGTCAATTTTTGTTTGAGAGTGAACAGAGCACTGAATTTTAGAACAATACATTATTTATTTATACATTCGCTTCAAAGGAAAGGGAAAAAAGAAAAAAAAGAAAAAGTAAATCACCCGTGGGTGGGTGGGTTGGACGATGGCTAACTGCAAAAGGAAAAGTCATTTTAGGGCGTGGGGTGGGAGCGTTGAGAGCCAGTAAATTTCTCTTTCAACGTTACACTGACTTTGTGGATTGTGATGTCTGACATCAATAAAAGAAACCAGTCACTGGCGGCAGACACGAATTACGGGTTCAAAACTTTTGCGTGGCTTTTCATTCACCGCAAATATTAAGTTGAATGCACATGTACACATATTTACACGAGATTATACTTGCAATTTCTTACGATTATATTTTAATCTCGTTAATTTTTGTTAATTAATGATTATGATTTTTATAAATTTAGCTCGTTAATTAATTATTAATTCACAATAAATAATAATCGTTGATTGACGAAAATTAACGGTGTTAAAATATGGTTGTAAAAAGTTGTAAAAAAAATTTATAAATATAATCTTCCTCTCTGCTTATATAGTTATAGGGAAAAACTATTCTCATGTCACATGAGATAAGTTTTCTCTCTTACACACCTTTCGATAACTGTGCCATTTTTTTTTTCTTTTATTTTTTCAAGTCAAGGAACCCACTAGCTTGTTTCTATGGCATAAGATAACTATCTCATTTAAGATGAAATTAATAAAATCCATAGTTATATAAAATGAAAAGTGGATTTTGAAATTTGATGGACGATGCCCCTCAACACTTGGCTCAACCGCATAACATTAGGATACTTTCGTGGAAGTGCCAGGTGTTTTGCAATCAGTTTCAATTTGGTTCAAAGCCTTGGATTTTGTGATTCACAGTTTTTTTATGGAAGTGGTAGCAGTTTTGGATTTTTCTCTTGACTATAATGATTCTCATGGTGGGTAACACATAAAACACATAAAAGTATAGAGTCTCATTTTTTTTTTCTTTTCTTCTTCTCACATTATTTTGTATATACCTCACATATTTATTTATATATGTATAATAATTTTATTTTCGGCGATATGAAAAGTATTAAACATTTTTCTTTTATGGGTCACTAATCTAACATGCAATTACATTTTTGTGAATAATATTTTTTCAACATTTTTTATTTATTTTTTTAAAGATATTTCAATCGATTCATCGCTTCGTGACTAGTTGAATTAGGGACGGATTCTGAGATTAAGACTTTTGACTCCTCTCAAATATGATATTAGGAAGGATTGAACATATATTTTCACTCTACCTACTCAATTCCCTTGTGGGTACCATTTTTTATATATGACTTCAATAAAGTTTGAATAACTATTTAAAATAATTTAAATATTTTTTCAATCTCTCTTTATAATGAAATGCTAAGTTACTCCTGAATGTTAAACTTCCCTATATTGATTTGGTCAGTGTAGCGATAAGCTGCAGTAGCATCTGATCTTCACTTTGTTATATTTATCGGACGGTAATATTCTCCTAATTCACCTAGTTTCATGATTTGAACCCCAGCTTTAAGTATGAAAAAGGAAGAATGTCATGATCATATTGGGTTTGATGGAGTCCTATCTATATATCAAAGATCTTTTGGGGGGAAAAATAGAAAAGAAAAGAAAACGAGTCATATTCCCAATCAGCCTGTTTAATGGACAAGAGATATAATTATTTAGAACCACGACAATAACAATTGGAACCGTCATTTCGAATGGGTAGATATTTTCGAATGGAAGATTTTAGCATTGCTTTGGGAAACTGAGGATCAGGGGAATTTCACGAGTAATGTGTTTTCCTTATAAATTTTAGAGATGCTTATTATTTGCTATATGAAATTATGCATCATGTTTTAATGTAGCTGTTAATTTGCTATTTTTTTATTTTTTTATTTTGAAATTAACTTTTGAGTAATTGCTTCATACAAAACAATATATAGTTACATTATAATTGGGGGTTGTATATTCTCTTGTAACATAAGAGGAGAACTTTTTCCGCAGATAGTGAGCTACATTGGTTTTTTTTTTTCTAAGAAAAAGAAATGAAATGTTGGCACAAAAATCAACTCAGGAGAACATGATTTTCTTATAACAAGAGAATTATTTTTCCCTTATAATTATCATACTATAAAATAGAAATTAATATTTTTCATATTATAGTAAATAATTTTTCTCTTATATACGCTTAAAATTATGTGGGTTACTTTTTTTTCCTCTCTTCTCTTCTGTGGGGCTTTATACACTTTTATGTGTGTATAAAAAATAAAAGTATATCCTATAACATGAAAATTTAATCCTTATAAAATAATATGAATGTTTGGACATATATTTGAAACTTGAAATTCTAATTACAATCATAGTTACATAAAGCATACCTTAGAAGTTCAAAATGATGTTTGGACATCGTACTGGGTATAAAATTTTTAGAGCTAGGGATGTAGTATTCTAATAAGGGAGAATAATTTTTGTCATTGCGACAAAAATCATTCCTTCTATTACTGATACAAAAATAAAAGAAAGAGAATAAAAAATAAGAGAAAAAATAATTTCAATAACAGGGAATGATTTCTGATGTAACTGCATAAATCATTCTCCCTTTTAATAATATTAGGTACTATGACATGCTTTTTTGTTAGATTGCATTTAACAATCATATATTTCTAACTTTGAGCTACCCCGTCTCCAGTGCACACATCTTGTTAAGTTGTAGTTCTTGTTCCCTTGTATTGGTTTCTAGGAGATGAACATTTTAATTGTAGCTATCAGAATAATTCAGCAAGAGCAGGTAGCTGAGGTATCATTAGGAATGACATAGGAAATATGATATGTGGTGATTCTCATAGGTTTGTGGTTGTTACTACCAATATCCATGCACAACTCCTGGCCATCCAAATCGCCATGGATATATATATATATATATATATATATATATATATATATATATATGACTTAGTGAAGAGGTACTTGCCCTTTGGTCTTTGGAGTCTATTCACTTCAACGACGTGGCTGACACACACTTTCATTAGTATGTTGCTATCATTATTCATTGTGATTTATTCATCTACCCCTGCCATGCTTATAGGGCATAGTCAAGCAATGCTGCAAAAAACACATTAAAAGACATGGTTATAATTCAATGGTTTTTTCATGGTTTAATTTATTATAGTTTACAAAATATTATGAGTTATTAAATCGAGTCAAATCTTACACTAAACATTCTAAATTAAAATTTAATAATAATTATGTTATTTCATAGTTAATATATTTGTTATTTTTAAGACATATGAAAAGAAATAAATTCTTATGTTAATAATTATAAATGTTTTCTTTTTCCCCTTAAATTTTAATGACTCATATCGGGCTTTAGTTAACTTTTTTTTTTGGTCATCTGTCGTATTGAATGATGATAGTTGTGGTCACATTTTACTTTTACCCTCCTTCCTTTCTTTAGTTTTCTTTCCCTCTGTGTTTTCGGTGATTCTGTCCCTTGCTTTTCGTGATTCTCTATTTTGTTCTATTCCCATATTCACCTCCCATTTCTTCCTTTTCATTCTCTACTCTCTCTTACTCCCCCCAATTCTCATACTCCAAAAATCTAGCCTCGGAATTAGGCAAGAAAAATCTCCCATTTTCCCTTTACGTAATGCAGACTACGGACTATGCACCTTTTTGTCCGGAGCAATAGAAGAAATTAAAATAAGGCACTATATGATTTGTCTGATGCGGAGAAATTTGGATAATTTATATTAAATCATGTATTTAGTTTTCACCAATATATCAAAAAAGAAGAAGAAGAAATTAAAAAAAAAAAACAAGACAGAAAAAATCTAATTTTATATTTGAATACGATACAAGATGTAAATCTTAACTCTCTATGATTGATTTCACTTATATCTAATAATTTATATAATTAATAAAGTTAAGACTCAGGTTATGCACATACATATTATGCAAATCTACATATAATATGTCAACAATACCCGAATTCTCTTAATTTAAAATTATAACCACAAGCAAAATTCTTTAATCCTTGGTTGCTAGTTTGATCGCTTAAAAGTATATGAAAAATATGTTTATCACATGATACAATTTTATCTTATATAATACATAAAAAATCAGTGAGACTCACTTTTTTCTCTTTCTCTTTTTCTTAATATATTCTATTCATTTTCTTGTGCGTTGTATTATTTCGTATATGCAATGTGAGAAATATATTTCGTAAGATATATATACTCTTATATAAAGTTAAAACTTAGTTTTTCAACCAAAGGAGGTTAGAAATTAGAAAATTTTAATACTAACAAATTTATTTGTCTTCTTTAATCCATTTCATAATGTGCATATTGGTAGTGAAGTTTATAAATGTATTATTATTATTCAGTTAACTGTGCATGATGGATTGTACTGTAAATTCAGGCTTAAGGATGAAGGTTAAGTTGGGTTCGGTGGTGATTGGACTGTTGTTGTTGTACCTGCGGTTGTGTTGTGTGAGCAACATTAACATGTCGCATCGCTTATTCTCTTGAATCGAGGCATTCATGGAGGTCATTCATGAAAATGCTCACTCCCTATCCATTCTCCAACTTAACCATTCCCAAATCTAGCATTCTTCAGATCAAACACCATTTTCTCTCTTTCTTCACCACCCAACAAAAAACACCACACACCCACCCGCACCCTGTGCCCTTTTCTTCTTCTTCTTCTTTCTCTTTCATTCCATCTTCATATGCAATCTGTTAAAAGTTAAACACCTTCTTTGACTAGCTTCTTCCTCTCCCCTTCTTCTCTCTCTCTCTCTCTCTCTCTCTCTTAAGTGGGTTTGCTTTTGTCTCACAGAAATCAGGTTGGTCTTCTCTGCTTCTCCTTCTCTCTCTCTCTCTCTCTCTCAACTGCTGTTCTTAAAAATACTAACTTTGGTGTTGTTCCTGTTTTGGAGTCACCTTTGATTTTGACTGAATTGTTATTTACTTAAAAGTTTTAATTTTAAAAATTTATTTATTTTTTCTGGTAATGATCTTGTAAGCTAGTACGAGGTCTTTAATGGTTCCTCAAGTGGTTGAGATTCTTCTATCTTTTCTTCTATTTTCAGACCCAGATCTCGGTTTTTCCCACCCACTATTGCTGCTTCTGTAAATTTTTCTATTTTGTATTAATTATTGGCTTGTTAATTTCTTTCTAGAACCGGGTCCTTTCCATTTTATTTATTTTATTTTTTTGCTGTTTTGCTTCTCTGCTTTCTCTTTAATGGATTCCAAAATTTGTTAAAGAAGAGAACTTGTTCTGGGTTTGCATTTGCCTAGTGCTACAGGGAATGCCTAGTTTTGTATTCTGCCATAGCTTTTGGTACTTATTTGTTGTTTGTAGTTGAAGAATTACTAAGATTCATCCAAATGTACTGAACTCTGTAGTATCCCTTGGCAAAAATTCATAAACAATTGGTAGATCTGACTGAATACTGTTCTCAAAGGACATCCCAAATACCATATTTGAAATACATAGGTTTTGACTATCCTCAATTCCTTTTACACATCCCCTTGTCCAAAGAGTAATGTTTCTCTCTTGATCTTCTCTCTCTCTGCTTATATCCCATTTATTGCATTACTCCTGGTCTCATATTCTTTCTTGTACAGGACTTTGTCCATATTCTTTCTTTGGTTCTCTGGTATAATCTCCAAACTGGTCTTAGTTACACTGTGTAAGCCTCGCACATATGCCTTGCTTTCCATTTTTGCTTTTCTGTTGAATGATTAAATTAACTTGGGCAGATTGTCTGGTTCATTGGGAAATTAACATAAAGATTTCCTAGGATTTGAGCTTTTCCATCCTGAAAGAGTTATGCTTTTAATTGACAGTGTGATAAGTTGGATGCAGGTGTTCTCGGCTAGCACCATGATAAAGCAAATTCTTAGGAAATTGCCGAAGAAGGTGCCAAAGTCTGAATCATCAGATTCTGCAAGGAGTGAATCTGGCAATACTACCAGTTTTGGGAATGTTTTTCAGTGTACAAATGTTGGAAGTACCATTTCAAGCAAATTAAATGTTGTGAAGCGGGTATCTTCAGTTGTTTTCCCTGCAAGCTTGAGTGCTGGAGTAGAAGCAGTTGACCCTTGTTTATCCTTCAAAGATGTTTCAAATACACAGAAGCAAAGCCTGTTTATTAGTAAGTTGAATCTTTGCTGCAAAGTTTATGATATGAGTGATCCTGATAAGAACACAGCAGAGCAAGATCTGAAACGTCAAACATTAGTAGAGCTTGTTGATTTTGTTTCTTCTGGAACTGTAAAGTTCACAGAACCAGCAATTGCCGCATTGTGTAAAATGTGTGCAATTAATTTGTTCAGGGTTTTCCCCCCAAAGTTTCGTACGAGTACTGTTGGTGGAGAAACAGAAGATGAAGAGCCTATGTTTGATCCTGCCTGGTCTCACCTGCAAATTGTTTATGATCTACTCCTTCAATTCATCAATTATAACTCTCTTGATGTGAAGTTGGCAAAAGTGCATATAGATAATGCGTTTATTTTGAAACTACTTGACCTTTTTGATTCTGAGGACCCTAGAGAGAGAGATTGCTTGAAAACAATTCTGCATAGAATCTATGGGAAATTCATGGTTCACAGGCCTTTTATTCGGAAATCTGTTAGTAATATCATCTACCGGTTTGTCTTCGAGACTGAGCGGCATAATGGAATTGCTGAGCTGTTGGAGATTTTTGGGAGTGTGATTAGTGGGTTTGCCTTGCCATTGAAGGAAGAGCACAAAGTATTTTTGTGGAAGGCTTTAATTCCTTTGCACAAGCCTAAATCTGTTGGTATTTATCATCAGCAGCTAACATATTGTGTTGTACAGTTCATAGATAAGGATCAAAAACTGGCTAGCTCTGTGATAAAGGGACTATTAAAGTACTGGCCCGTGACAAGTAGCCAAAAGGAGCTAATGTTCATAAGTGAGTTGGAAGAGATTTTGGAAATGACTAGCATGGCTGAATTTCAGAAGATTATGGTTCCACTGTTCCGACGGATGGGTTGCTGCCTTAATAGTTCTCATTATCAGGTAGTTTCTTCTACTCTGATCCTCTTTTTAGTTGCTTTATTAATTAAAGTATCTGCTTTTGTGTCTGATTCTAAATTTCACCTTTCACCCGATGAAGAGAATATACATTAAAATTCAAAGGAATTGGAAATTGATTATTTAATCATGGCTTTCAAATGTAATTGATTGTAGTATCTATCTTTCTCAAACCTGAGCTTGTAGACTTAGCTGAATCCTGTAGTGTTCTTCAAATGTCCAAGCATTACTGATGTACACAATGATATGGTCTCTGGAGATCATACCATGCAATTTCTAGTTACTTATATGGTTATGGTGCTTATGTCTTTATAAAGAACATCAATCAGCTCACAATCATGTCCCAATTCAGGTGGCCGAAAGAGCTCATTTGCTATGGAACAATGAGCATATCCTTAATCTTATCACGCACAACCGGCAGGTGATTCTGCCTCTTGTCTTCTCAGCGCTTGTACATAACACACAAAACCACTGGAATCAAGCAGTGCTCAACTTGACTCAGAACATCAAGAAGATGCTGTCTCAGATGGATGAGGATCTGGTACTTGCTTGCCAACGCAAGATTGAGGAAGAAGATTCAAGGTCAAGTGCTGCAGCTGAGAGGAGAAGAATAACATGGGAACGCCTAGAAGCTGCTGCCAGTGACCAATCTGTAGGTGGTGATATTTTAGTTCCAGTAAAATCTGCTACATGCTCTGTGGCCTGCTAATTGGTTTGAGTAATGATGTATGGTTCTAATTACATAGTGGTGTGGATCTTCAGTTTTATTGGCCATGTTAAGATGCCATTGCCAATAGGGTATGCATATCACCTAGTATATTATATACCTTCAAATTGTGCTGAAGGGTGTTGCTTAGGTTCTTTCACAAAACTGCTGAGTAGTGGGTGATATTTTACTTTGTTTGGAGGAATAGGGGGTGGGGGGTGTTTGTGTGTGTCGGTGGCTTATTCGTGCATGCAATTATTTGCAGGGTCAGCACCCGTAACCTTCACTCTTTTATTCAGTTTTCTTACCTCATGGCCCCCACCTTAGCCCCTTACCTTGCCCATCTGCAACACTGTGTACCTGAATGCTGTGTCATTGCTGGTTTTGCTACACTCATTGGTTATATGCTACGTGGATGTCTAAGCATCTCTATCTTCTCCCACCAAGTGAAAAATTACGTGTATGTTCATTCCTTGAATTCCTGGTCTATTTTTACCTGCTCCTGTCAGGTTTTAGTACCTTTTTTTTTGTTTTTCAACGGATTTTCAGACTATTAAAAGATATAGAAAGAGGGATGAATATATGGCTAAAAACAATGGGCACGTTAAAATTTCACATGAGTGAAATTGTTGTCTATTTTTTTTTTCACATTAATAATAATTGTATTTCACTTATTTAGTGCATACGAAGAGAGATTAAGATAAAAATATCATATAATTATGTCATATGAAATTTAAACATGAGAGAATTTAAGTTTTTTTTTATCCTTTAGCCCTTCATTAATTACTTAATAATCATTTTGCCCTTTTATCTAAATTATTCACCAATCTGTTTTTCTTTAATCAATTAACTTGAATATTTAATCGATTAAATGGTCAAAACAGGCAAAAATGGTTGACTTGAGATTTAATCGATTAGATCTTCTTCTTTAATCGATTAAGAGAGATATTTAATCGATTAAAACTTATATTTAATCGATAAAATATTTCAAATGAGAGTGAAATCATTGATTGAATGAGACAAACAAGGAAAACTCGCCACTTCATTGTGTAGAGAACCAATCTTGGTTCATTAACGCATTTGAGTTGTTCTCTGAATCCAAATTTTCACATAATGCTCGCCAAGTGACCTTTGGCTCCCAATAGTGGTGAAAGTGGGCTGGGCTGGGCCAAGCTTTGCCCCGAAAAGCCCAAGCTTACGCAAAAAAATTTCAATTTGGCCTGGCCCAAGCCTAGTATGAGTCTAACTGTTAGCCTGACTTGGCCCGTTTATAAAAAAACAAATGGTCTGGCTTGACCTGTTAGCCTGTTAATTTTTAACTTCCAAGCACAACCATGTATCAACTTTACGAAGTACTCAAATTCTGTTGCTACACCAAAAATCATAATTTCAACGTCCAAACAGAATCATGAATCATAACAAAATTCATACAATATGTATTTAAGTCATTTTCAAAAGCAAAATGCTCAAACTAAATAACATATATTTCATCAGATCCTACAAACAAATAAATTAAAATAACTACACGAATCCAACAAACACATTATGCTGCTTGTAGTAAGTATAACCTTTTCCAAAAATCTTTTAATATATTCATATACACAATCTAACATGTTCAGATGTTGGTTCCTCCTATATAAAAAATAAAGTAAGATTTCTATTAAAATATAATCGAATCTAATTAAGTTATAAATAATTGTAATTGATTAAATTTATATCTTTTGTTTTTCCTTCAAGGCATACTTACTCTATTTTATTTTATTTAAAATAAATAGTATAGGAGCAGGATATTCTTACACCGGTGTAAGAGTTAGAAGTTTTACACTCAATCTTGACCATTGATCCACTTGTATCCAATGACTCACATTACTAAAAAATTAGAACCCTTAGATATAAGTGGGATCAATGGACAAGATTGAGAGTGTAACTTACACTGGTGTAAAATGATCCTGACCCAATAGCATAATATAGGCTGGGCCTGTAGGCTTATAGGCCCAGCCTTTTGAAAGTGGGCCTACGGCCTTTTTATTAAACAGGTTTTTTAAGGCCCAAGCCCGACCTATTATACAAAATATACTAAGCCAGGTCTGGCCTGATGTAGGCCGGCCCGACCCAGTTTCACCCCTAGCTCCCAACTCAGACCTGTCCTTAGTTTAAGAACATCCCGAATTATGATTGGTTCACCTTTAATCCAATGCTATTGGAAGAGAAATAGTGCTTCTTCTGACAAGTCACTTGACACTTGACAATATATGTTATTATCATTCACGTCATCTCTAAAAGCAGCTCTTATCATAGATTTGCTACTTAATATTACTTCTTTCTAAAGAGTTTTGTGCTCAATTTTGCAAAAATTCTTCAGTATGTCACGAGTTTTTCTTTCCAACTTAGAAATCCATCCATTTGAAAGTATGGACTTCAGCCTCAATATATAGTCACCACAATCTTTCATTTCTTTTGGAGCACATCTAATACTTCCATCACTATTAGTTCCAATCAGTATATATCTCAATAGTACCCTCTGAAGTCCCTAAATCACAATATACTGGTTGAGGATGACCACTATGCATGTACTCACTGTCCTTATTCACATATTCAAACTTCAGTTCAGGCCGGGGTGAAATACTTCCATTTCGTATTTCTTCACAGCAAGACAGATCTCAATCATCCCCTTTGAAAGTAGCAAGTTTTCCTTATTTGTCTCATTCAATCAATGCTTTCACGTTCATTTGGAATATTTAATTGATTAAATATAAGTTTTAATCGATTAAATATTCAAGTTAATTGATTAAGGAGGGAGATTTAATCGATTAAATATGGAGTCAACCATTTTTGTTTGTTTTGACCATTTAATCGATTAAATATTCAAGTTAATCGATTAAAGAGGGACAGATTGGTAGATAGTTTTGGGTAAGGGGCAAAATGATTATTAATTAATGAGTAAATACCCTTTTTGGTCCTCAGCAAATTTCACAATGCCTGCTTTAGTCCCTAGCAAATAAAAAGGCCCATCGTGGTCCCTAAGAAATTCAAAATGAACTCATTTTAGGGACTAATATGGGTCTTTTTTGAATTTGTGAGGGACCACGATTTCAACTAAATGGATCCATTTTGAATTTCTTAGGGACCACGATGAGCCTTTTTATTTGCTAGGGACTAAAGCGGGCATCGTAAAATTTGCTGAGGATCAAAAAATATATTTACTCTTAATTAATTAATGAGGACAAAAGGATCAAAAAGCCAGAGAATTCACTTTGGCCTTTTCTTAGGAATAAAAAGTGCATGCAAAGTTAATGAAATATTTTTTTTATAAAGGGTTTTATAATAGTTATGTTGCAAGAAAAGTGATTGTGTAACGTTATAGAGATTTGTTTTGCGTGTCGTAGTTTTTTTTTTTTTTTCAAAAAGTGTGGACCCCACAAAATATTGTGTTTGTAAGAAACTTTATTGTGTCATGTTAAATGATAAATGCAAACCCCTTTTATAAAACTTACTTCATATTTAGTGCATTTGTTATATGAATTGCTGAAGTTGTTTTTGTTCCGTTTACACACAGGTGTCATCAGACCCTTCCTTCCTTCCCTTTTTTCCCCCTTCCTTTGGACTACTCAATATTCAACTACCCTTTTAATAAACAATGCCTTAAATTTTGCATCGTAGATGTAGACATTTACGACCTTGATTTAGGAATGGCAAATTAAGATATTCAGTAATTTCCTTTGGTTCATGTGAAAGACTGTTCACATTTTGGTGAGGTATATCGACACTTAGTGTAAATTAAAATTTTATTCATGATTGCAAAATCTTTACATTGTTTGGTAATTCGTAGCAAATAAGAAAGAATTTGCTTTAAAATTTAATTTTCATATATTGATAGTATAAAAAAGTTTTACATTTGTATTTAATGATATGTGAATCATTTAATGAATTTGACATATTGTATAATTGTTACTATAATTAAATTTTCCAAATGTTATGTTAAATGACAATATATATATATATATATATATATATATATATATATATAGAGAGAGAGAAAGATATTGTAACAATCAAGTTGTGTTACTACCATGTTACTACCAATCAATCTCACCATTAGATCGACTATGTTGATCCAACGATTATATTTATTTTTATCTTTGTATGATCATGATTTCCCAAATTTAATACTTTATATTTATTTCTACTTTTGTATAGATATGATTTTCCATATTTAATGCTTTCACTTTAAATTTGGAAAATCATGACCATACAAAGATGAAAATAAATATAACCGTTGGATCAACATAATCGATCTAATGGTGAGATTGATTGGTAGTAACATAGTAGTAACACAACTTGGTTGTTACAATATCCTTCCCCTATATATATATATATATATATATATATATATATATATATATATATATATATATACTCATGGTAAAGAAAAATTATTATTATTTTTAAATACCATATTAGATAGGGAGATATTGAGATTTTATATACCAATACCATGCTTCGATATCCCATATTTAAAATACCTAAATATACTGTTTACCAAAAAAAAAAAAAAAATACCTAAATATACATTTTAAACAGTTTTATCTATCAGATCCAATATGAAAATATGTAATTTTCTTTTAGTTGAATTATATATGGATGTGTTGAATCTAGATATAGCTTGTATTCAAGCATCCAAGGGACAGCCATTAACTTCTTTATTTGTTAATTCTTTTCTTAAGTTGGTAAGGCGATAAGAATGATGTGATGAAGTGAATGCGAGGGAAACATTTAAAAAAGGGAGAGAAAAAAAAAAGGTTTTTGGAGTCGAACGGCATCAACTGAGCCGGCATTATGTCTAAAAACCATGAAATTCAAGTCATAGTGTTATTTGAGCGTTCCTTTTTTTCTGTAATTATTGTAGATAAGTTATTTGTAGTAAGTTTAATATAACGTCGTTTTGAATGAAAAATATGGTATTTTTGTAATTTTAATTTATTTCAGGATTATAATAATTTTTATAATTATAATTTTTTAATATTTCAATCTCAAAACGACGTCGTTTTAAGAGTAAATGCAGATAATTTATTTGCAGTAACTGCACAAATATTTTGCTATTTATTTTATTATATTTCAACAAGGAAAATCCGAAGTTCAAAAAGTCCTCCATTCAGAAAAACAAACAAAGAAAAAAGAGATTAGAAGGCAGAGAAGAAACTTAATTGCTAAGGAGAAATAAAATGAACGTGTCCAAATATAATAAATGAATTGTAAGTTGTAACCACTAACATATTACCATACATAATATATAATATACCTTCCTCAGTACCACCTGAATTGCAACGAAATCAGAACTTGATTGTTCTCGTTATTAACTACCTATTGGTTCCTCCTTCGCCTTATAATTCCAAGGAAATAATTTCCCCAACACAGAGAGAAAAAATGTATGCACCTCCAGTCCAACAGATAACTTATGTGGAACATGTTCGCAAACGCCATGAAGAAAAAGGATGTCTTTATGCTTGGTTTGTATAGTTATCCTTGTTGCTCATGTTTTAGTAAACTGTTTTTTTTTAATGGTTATTATTGCTGTTGCCACTTACAAAAAGGTTCTAACATATAAATGATTTATATTTTCATCATTTTGCTCTCTTTGTTCTCGACATGTAATAATTTCCTTTCTTTCATCATGTTCATTCAATATTCATGTGAATCATCAATTTTATTTTATTTTTTTATTTATTTGTTGTTGGCTGGTGGGGATTTTCAGCTTGTTTGCCATGTGTTGCTGCTTCTGTTGCGTTGAGACCTGCGAGTGTTGCTTGGAAATGGTGTGCTGCTGCTGCCCTTAGAACTTAGAAGGATGATCATCTTTCAGTACACAAGTAGTCGTGTAATAAAATAATAATAATGGTCTCTTCTATATGTTTCTATATAAATAAATAATTACAAATGATGATGTAACTTTTTGAGTATGTTACTTTTGACTTGTGGTATTATTGATTCAATTTTCTTTTTATGCTCAAGGAGGCATAGGCCTAACAGGTTCTCTTTTTTTCCTCCTTGAATATTTTTATTCCGCCTCAGTTACTCTGGTCATGATAACACGGTGAAATAATGAATAATAAACGTTACCTTTTTTGCCTTGTGTCGGCAAAAGGCGTGCTGATTCTTGTGCACACAGATGAACTGGAGCCCTCTCTGGGTCCAGATTTTAATGGCCATGGTATTCAACAGTTTCTATGAGTTTATCTTTGAATTTATATTATATAATGGACCAACAATTCTTATTTGTTTTTGACCAATAAAAAGGAAAACCCTGCTTTACCAAATGGGTTTACACTAAACAGAAAAGGGCTTGTTTTTTTTTTTTTAAAAAAGTTGATCCAGAATTTATATTCATTGTTCCGTCTCATGTCTCCATCTGTTTGGTGTGGGAGTAATGTAGTTAGAAGATACTATGAACTATGGTCAAGTTTCAAATTTTTAGGACAGTACCATACACATACAGAACGAAGTAACATGTTAATGTAGTTAAGAGTAGGTGCAAGTACAACAATGGTCAAGTTTCAAACTTTTAAGTTAGGACAATAAAAGAAAGAAGGAAGGAGACCCAAGTATATATTTTCCTTCAATTTATATAATGTACTAATATGACTCTTTATAAATTAAAAAAATCATAATGAAATAAATGTGCTATAGTTTTATTTATTATTTCTCAAACATGAATAAAAAATGAAAAATGAAAAAAATTGGTAATCATGAAGATTCATTAGAGGCTTTGCCCTTTTTGTCCTTTTCGTCAATCGTCCGCAATGGTCCAGCTGTTCAAACATGAAACACGTAAGAGACTTATTGGAGGCAGGTCTTTTAGACGGACCCCAGCACTTTTGTCTCAACGATTACAACAAGTATCCCGTCGTGGGCCTGCCTTATAATAATATGGGTCTTTTTCTTTTTCTTCTTTTTTTAAGTAACCAGTGATCAACCTTAGCCTAGTCTTAAAATAGTTATTCAGGGTGAAGGTTCATGCAATCAGATTGTGTTAATTAGACCTATCTGCGTTGGTAAATAGTTATCTAATTACAAAGAATAATCAAGAAAAGCGTGTCATTAGTTGCACCACATTGACTAATCTAATTCACGAGAGAAAGCACATAGTGTCCCAAGAAGAACGTCAGATTAGGTAAAGCACATGGAATCTGATCAATGTTAAAAGGACATATCAGCATCCAGTCTGGAACAGAATACAGCAACATTTGTCATCAAATTTAGTAAAAAGAAGTAGGTTACAAACTGAGTCAAAGCATATGCAGGGATAACTGAATCAATTTCGGGTAGCGCATATTTTTTTGGGGATTGACTATCAACAACAAACAAATTGTCAGACAGAATGTCATGTATCAACCCCTTCATCTTCTCTTAACAAAAAGGTATTTGATTGATTATGCTCTAGAACCAAATATAGTTTTGTCATTTCTAATATTGGTATAGTCTTTTCCAATTGATGGTTATACAACAGTATAGGAACATCTACCATCACTGAATTACAAAATTTGAACTCAGAAGTCTGATCCTTTTTCAGCCACAGAACCGCGCTGCCTGTGATGAATTTAGAAAATGTACAAACAAGCGATTGAAGTTAAAATTGTGGTCAACAGCACTGATACAAGGTTCACTGCATTATTGTCGAGAATATTGACACCTGATATCCTTTTAACTGTTGGTCCTGGCTTTCCAACAACCTAGAAAATGGAGTAAGAAATTTCAAGTATCAAATATCTAAACATTAACATAAGAGGGTTCTATTGGATTTTGCATTGAGATTGGTTCAACAACCATCCAATATTATATAAGAATACAAGCAATATGCCGTTAGGAGAAAAAGTATCCTTTATTGGTTGTGTATCTAAATTTACCTTATTGCGAACAGAGCAGAATCCAGTAAATTGCAATGTTGCACCCAATAGAGAGTCAACGATGCTTCCACATAATCCTGCCAGGGAGGCGATAGGTATGACCAGTAGTTGCTTAAGAACTATATCAAACTCACATCTGGTTGTCATAAGCCCCAGAAGAACAAATGACAGTCCAATGACACTTCCAGCTGCAGCAGCTGCTAGAAGTCCTGCTTTTGTCACACCACCATTTGTACCCCTCCTCACAGGCTGATAATCATCAAGAAATGAACTCATAACCACAATCTCTGAAATTTAGTATCAATTTTCTACTTGATCTTTCTCTATTTAAAGAATCCACCAGATGTTACAAGTCACTTCTCATAGCATGGTATTCTAAGGCAGTGTTTGGTAAACTAAGCCAAGTAGCCGTGTGTTTTTCGAAGATGCTCATACTCATAGTGTCAAGAACTTCAAGTGAAAAGTTAGTGTTTGTCAACAGCTAACAGGACAGAATAAGTCATAAGAATAGAATGTGAGGAATATTTTAGGGAGGCTTGGAATCTTAAACTCCCCAGCGAATTCCAAGCTCAAAAAACAAATTCTCAAGAATTTATCATTCCCTGGAACGCAACTTTCCTATTTCATGACTTATATTTCCTATGGGTTTGGGCAGGGTTGTTACCTTCCCATTTCATGGGAATGTTTTTGAAAATGTAAAAGGACATCATTGCTCGCCTCTAATGACCCAGCCCTCCCAAAACCTCACCATGGCACAGCCTCCGCCCCTACGGCCATTGTCGCCCCCACCACCCACGACAGTATCTTTGGGTTAAAATTTTGACAAAAATCCCATTTTGGTCTCTCACTAATTTTATTTTGCTCTCAATTTAGTCTCTCACATATCAACTTACACAAAACAATCAATCACAGATCAAAATTCCCCTCAATTTAGTCCCTCAATGAACCAGCCGTTAGTGAGGCAGGTGGAACAATTACCTGTCATCATTTGAATCCTATGACATCACAGTGTCTAGCTAGTACAAGTCACCTAATTTAGCATTTTATCACCAAAATTAGCCCTGTAAAGACTATTCAAATAAAATATTAAGGGTGGATGCTAAATTTTTCCATCTTTCTCACTAACAACCAGTTCATGGAGGGACTAAATATAGGCGAATTTTGATCAGCAAGTAATTACATTGCAAAAAGTGATTTGTGAAAGACTGAATTCAGAGGAAAAAAATTAACGAGGGACCAAAACATCGGTGAGAATACTTCTAGCTAGCTAAACACCAAACACTGAGGCTAATAAAACTTTCTTCAAGTTGCATTCAAATTGAACTAAATAAGAGCATGCCAAATATGGATAGAGGATCAAAGAGCATGACCAATCGGTTATTTACCTTGAAGGTTGTGATTAGACGAGGCTGATCATCACTGAGAATTCCAAGCTCTGAAGACCAAGTGTCTCCATTGCAGCAGGAATAATGACCAATAACACCACCAATGAGAGAGGTAATCAGAGCTGAGTCTGTAGAGTTCAAGCACTTATCCTGCCCTTCTGTGAATACCCATATAGTTACAACCAGAACAGAAGCAATGCCGCTATTGGCTAGAACTTGTAGCCTGAAAAAACTCAAGCAGGGGAAATTTAGTCAAAAGGAAGAGAGAAGCAGACAATTACGGGTAAATTTAGTGTCCTCATAACAATATGGAGAAAATTTCAAGGATAAGCTTTATATGTAAAATTGTATGAAAAACTCATTCCTCAATTCAGTGATACTAAAATGAACTCAAAGTGAGAGCTATGGCCATTATCATATTCACATCTCAATCATGGTATTCATCGAAAACTAGGTTTATCAATTTAATAGCAGCCTACGCAAGAGTGAAGAGCCATTTGCAGGCTTCAAGGTTATGAATAGTTACAACCATAAGCCCAAATATGAATCATGTATAACATTTTTTTGGCCCGTATGGTTCTTTTAAGACGATGCAAAATGTAACGCCTAGCAACTTGCAAGGATTAACGACTGTCCCCACACACTAACACGAGACTTTTCAGCGTGCTTTGTCCTCACTCGCACACTTTCCGGGAAAACTTCCCAGGAGGTCACCCATCCCAGAATTGCCCCAAGTCAAGCACGCTTAACTATGGAGTTCTTCCGTTCCGGGCTACCGAAAAGTAGATGCATCTTGTTAGTATAAGTAGTACCGATTAATTCTTATAAGTCATTCCCAACTGTACACAGTTGAGAACCATACCAGCACAGTCTCTGGAATCCCTCTCTTTCGGGTGTTGATTCGATGTACCCCCGTCCTTAGAAGCCTGCCAGGAGCCGCTCCTTGTCCATGCCCTTTCGCACCGGCGATCACTCCCCGCCCTCGTCAGCGCCCGGGATGTTACACACAAAACTCAGGTCTGAATGCAATTAATGCTATGATTTTTTCTTAACATTTGAGTTCTAAAGACAATCAATTCTAAATAACAAGAAGAAAGAACCACGTGAGCTTTTTTAAAAAAAAAAGAGAGACCCAAAAGCGGAATCTAAAAGCAGAGAGGAAAGAAAAAAGTGAAAGAACACACACCAGTTTCTTTGTCCACCTTCTTTGAATTCAGGATCGAGTGTTCGCTTTCTATCTTCTCCCATCTTTGTGAGCTTAGACGAAGTGAAAAAGAAGGCAAGCAGCATAGCCCCAAACCTTGATGACCCATAACCAAGAAGGGCAAAAAGATTACATCTTTGGGCCACACAACGAACCAAAGAACCAAAACAAAAAAGAAAACAAGGATAACAACGAATTACCTGTATCCTACAAATATGTGAAGGGCCATAACGATAAAGCCCGCAACTGCTCCAGAAGCGCTGAGGGATTTTCTTCGGTGAGCTCTGAATGCGATGAGGAACGCCACAACCACGGCGAGCAAGGGTTGCAACCATTGAGGAAATAACTCCATTGAAGTTTCAAAATTGATTCACTGCGAGATTGCGATGCGATTCACTCACGTTCTTGAGCTTTGAACCCCAACGTTGAACATTGAGGCGCAGCCTACAGCTAACCACCACGAGGGGCAACACTAACCAGCAACTATAACTGTTTGATGAAATGTTTGACTCGTTTTATTCTAGTTAATGTTATAGGTTGCAGCTTCCCCCACTGGAACACGAATATTCTGTTGGACCCACGTGATTTTTAATGGTAACAGGTGCCTTCCAATGCTAAGGAGTAAGGACCTTATAAAACAACGAAATTCATCAACATATGTACAAATTTTTTTTGGTAGGAGCTAGAAGGTACTTATAAGTTAAAGCTAAAACTTGTTTGAAAATTATATATAAATTTTAGCTTAAAAATTATTTAAAAGCACATATTTCAAAAAAATTATCTCTCTCTATCTTTATCACTTTTCATTTAAAAAAAAGCACACAAGTGTCAAGAAAAAACAGATAAGAGCTTAAAAAAAGCTATTCCTAAGAGCTTTTAGTTTTTAGCTTTTTTCTTTATTATAAAAAAAAGCTCCTCCTAAGAGTTTTTTCTATAACCTGTTTGACCTAGTTTATGCTTATAAGTATCTTCTAGATTAAAAAAAATCCAAACAGACACTATGTACAAATTTAATATAAAAGGATAGATAGGCTATATTTATAATTTTTTTATTTATAAATATTTATAAATTATATATATATATATATAATTCATAAATATTTATAAATAAAAAAATTTATAAATATAATCTTATTCCAAAAAAATCATATTTTTTTTTAAAAAAAGAAGTTTATTGTGCAGGATTTTTTTTTTCCTTCTACCAAGATGTTGCGCTGAAAGGAAAGATAACGTAAAGAAGACAAAAGAGCAGATCGATTTCATAGAGATTTTAGCGTGGAATCAAATAATCCTAATAGGATTTTGTGTCACTTAGCAAGTATATCATAAAATTAATATAATTGGAAATGGTCATGTTTGTCTAGAATCTGTATGCATTTGAACTAGTTAACTCATTATATTAGGAATCCCAAAGTGTAATTCAGATAAATAATAAATTAAATATAGAAATTCTTTCGTAAATTAAAAAATACGAATTGGTGGATTATAAGTAACATCAAATATTAGGTGTGTATTTGTCTCTATTACCCTACAGATCAGCAGATAGGAAGAGCACAAGAAAGAAGGGAATCAGTTCTGGGATTTCTGGTTTCTAACAGAAAATTAAAAACATGGGAGCTGAGTTGAATGTAGGGTAAAATTATGGTTTTGGGATTTGGTTTTAGAGATACTATAAAGCACTAATAGCTGACAATATGGAAGTCAAAGAGTAAATTATTGCTCAAATCTAAAGCCGTTAAAATGAATTATATTTGATTCACTGGTCTGCGAAATGTTCACCCTTTATTTGAAGGGATAAAGGAATCTTCCACTTCCAATTTCCAACTAAACAACCTTGAAGTGCAAACTTTTGTTTGGGCTTCTTGACCAAATCAATGTATTTTTTATTTATTTATTTATTTTTAAAAATCTCAAACCAATGTAGTCAATCTCGCAATGGAACAAATCTCGCATGTCAAAAAGTTTTTTTGTGTGTTAAAAGTACTTGTTTAGTCAAAAAGCCCTTTTTCTTATTCTTTTTTGAATACAAAAAGCCCTTTTTCTTTGCGTGCCTATTTTAACTTTATATTCAGGTTAGGTTAAAGATTTGCCGGCAATAAAATCAATTAGGGATAGCACATATTTTTGGGTGACTGACTATATTAATAACAAACAAACTGTCAGACAGATCGTAAAAATGTCATCTTTTATTAACAAGAAGGTATATGATTGATTATTCTCCAGAACCAAATATAGTTTGTCACTCTAATGTTGGTGTAATCTACTTTTTCAATGATGGTTATACAGCAGTATAGGAACATCAACCATCACTGAACTACAAAATTTGAACTAAAGTCTGAACCTTTTTTCAGTCACAGAACCGCTGCTTGCGATGAGTTCAGTAAATGTACACACAAATGATTGAAGTTAAAATTGTGGTCAGCAGTACTGATAAAAGGTTGACTGCATTGTTGTCAAGAAGATTGTGACCTGAAATCCTTTTAACGGTTGGTGCTGGCCTTTCCACAACCTAGAAAATCAAGATCAATATTAACATCATCTTTATCCTAAATTAGCAAATGGAGTAAGAAATCTTAAGAATCAAATATCTAAGCATTTACATTGGAGGGTTCTATGTACCTTTTATCATGGCATCTCTTACACTATTAAATTTTGCTTTTAGATTTGTTCAACAACCATCCTATATAATACAAGAATTCAAGCTATATGCGGATAGAAGAGAAAGTATCCTTTATTGCTGGTGTATATAAATTTACCTTTTTAAGAACAGCGCAGTATCCACTAAATTGCAACGTGGCACCCAATAGAGATTTAATGATACTTCCACCTAGTCCTGCCATGAAGGCAATAGGTATGACCAGTACTTTCTTAAGAACAAACTCACATCTCTTTGTCAGAAGTTCCTGAAGAAAAAACGATGCTCCAATGAGAGTTCCGGCTTTTGCAGCAGCTTTAAGTCCTTTGGTTGTCACACCACCATTTGTGCCCTTCCTCACACGCTGATAATCATAAAGAAAAGAATTTGTAACCACAATCTCTGACATTTAGTAGCAATTTTCTATTTGACTTTTCTCTAATTAAAGAATCCATAAGCCACTTATCGTAGCACAAGCCAAAAATAGCCAAGGATTTTATCTTATAGGGTCAATTGCTAACAAGACAGAATAAATCATAAGAAAAGAATGTGAGGGCTTGGAATCTTAAACTCTCCTGTGAAGTTCAAGCTTAAAAAAAACATGGAATATTACTGAGAATGTGAAATTCGAACCGAACACATTAATCGAATATTGACAAACATTTGTGAGAAATTTACCTTGCGGGTAATGAATCTTGTGATTAAAAAAGTCCGCTCTTGAGTGACAATTCCAAGCTCTGAAGACCAAATGTTTCCAGCGCAGCAGGAATAATGGCCGACAACACCACCAATGAGAGAGGTGATTAGATTTGAGTCTTTAAAGTTCACACACTTATCCAGCCCTTCTGGTAATATCCATATAGTTGCAACCAGAACAGAGCCAATGCCACTGTTGGCTAGAACATGTACCCTGAAAAAATAAAACACAAGTAGTGGATATTCAGTCACGTTTGAATTGAATTCTAATGAAAGACAATTCTAAATAACAAGAAGAGTGAATCAGCGAAATGGGAATCTTGAAAAGAAAAATTAACACATACCAATTTCTTTGTCGACCTTTTTTGTATTCAAGACCAAGTTTTCTCTTTTTATCCTCTGTCCTCATTGTGATCCAAGACAAAGAGAGAAAGAAGGCAAACAGCATAAAGGAAAACCTTGATGACCCATAAACAAGAAGGGAAAAAAGATTACATCTTTGGATTTCCCAACGAACCAAATTAAGAACCAAAACAAAGACAACGAAGTACCTGAATCCAACAAGTATGTGAAAGGTCATAACAATGAAGGCTGCAACTGCTCCAGAAGTTGTGTGGGATCTGCTTGTGTGAGATATGAGTGCAATTTGGAAAGCGCAAATGACAGCGAACAAGGGTTGCAACCATTGAGGAGGTGACTCCATTGAAGTTTGCAACCATTGAGAAGAAAATGATTCCATTGAAGTTTCAAAATTGGTTCACTGCGAGAGATTGCGATGATTCACGTTCTTGAGCTTTGAGAAACTCTAGAGCCCCAAGGCGCAGCTTATAACCAAGAAAGAACCGATTTTTAACCGTAACTGTTTCAGTTGGTTTTATGAACTGTTTGAGTCCGTTATTATAGTTATATAGTACGGCTGCATAACTTGACGCACGCGAGTTGACTAAAAGGAGTAAAAATAAAAATAAAAATTGATCTCTCAAACAGTCACTTTGTGTCTTAATGATTATTTCACCTTATTTGCTTTCCATAAGCATGTCTTGATTGATGCATTAATGTCAAATATTTTTTAATGTCTGATATTAAAATTACCTATCGATTGATCACTGATTCATAAGGAAATGCATATGACATTTTTTTTTTGGATATAACCCGGAGGTATTTCCATTCAATCTCTTCCGGTCACCTTGTCCTCGGAGTATGGCCCTGAAGGCTAGTCCCTTATTGAAACAGCGGGTGCATTAGCAGGATTTGAATCCCTGACTCAAACAAATCCTTAGGAGCTCAGTTGCCAACTAAGCTACCCTTGTGGGTTAAAATGCATATGACATTGTTGCAAAAGAAAACATCAAATAGAACAAGAATGGCTTTTTCCATCACTACTAAGAGTCTGTTTGGATGAGTTTTTTTTTTTTTCAAAAGCTGTTTTTTTTAAGAAAAAAAAAGCACTTCTCGAAAAAAATCTGTTTAGATGCCTGCTTTTAAAAAAAGTAGAAGTAATAAAAAAAAGTCAAAAACCTACTTTTTCGGAAACTAAAAATTTTTACTTTTAAAAAAAGCAGAAGTCAAAAGCCAAATATTTTTTTAAAAAATTAAATATTTTTTTTAAAAATCTAAATAGCTGTAACTTACTTTTTTGAAAAGTGTAATAGCCCCAAAACCTTGATATTGTCGAGCTCACGGTTTTGTTTCTTGGGACACCCCACAAAATGCCTCACACTAGAAGAGGTATCCACACCCTTATAAGGCATGCTTCGTTCCCCTCTCCAACCGATGTGAGACATTACAAAAAGACAATACAAATGAGAATCCAATCATTCCAACTCTTCCATTTTTGTTCACCTGCACCCTTCTTTCTAACAAATTTGTTTCAAGTTCTGCTTATTGGGCAGGCAGATTGAGTAATACTGGGCTCACTCAAATTGGGCTGTGTCCATAAATATTTGATCCATTATTCACCATCGAGATTTGAGAATTGAGTTTTGTTCTTTTGCCGCTTCCAAATCAGAATGATTGATGACACAAAATGGACCTATTGAAAAGCATTTTATATACAAAAGCTTGATGGGCTTATTGCAGTCATGTTTAATATGCTTTGATAACAAAAGGCAAAAAATCTCTAGTAAGATCCTTAAAATTCTGAACTACTTTTCTGTAGTGTGTTGCATCAAAATTGGATAAAAATTCAGGGAAAAGTGTTTGTCCTTTTAAATGACACAACTTATATCATTTCATTCTCACAAAGAGGTGAGACCTATATCTTTATATTTTTTTGTCCACTCTCTCTTCCTTTATCTATCTCTTTCTCTCACTTAAAATGACACAACTTTACATCCTTTAAAATGATACACACTTTTCCCAAAAACATAAACCAAAAAAATATAAAGGATGAAATCACGGTAACTTAGTTTAACAGTGACAATACTAAATCTTTTATTTTAACAGTTTTTTTTTCTCTAATAGGATCCATGCTATGTAACACTTCAACTTGTTCTCTTTATATTTGTCCTCATCCTATATTTTCTTATTATCTCACTTTATCTTGTAGATTTTTTAGTTCACCTAATAAAATGCTAAATTTAAATTTTGTTGTTGGGGGTGTGTTCCCTCAAGCCACGTTTGTGATTTGTTCCTCTTCCTCCCCTGGCTACTTATACTGGCTATTCAAAGTTTGTACTATTTGCACAACATATATTTCTATAAACCAACACATTCTTCCCTTTTGTGTTTGTGCCAGCTTGCCGCATTAATTTTCCACAATCTAGTCTGATGTAAATCGTTTTTTATTCAACAAACACAGTTGTGGACAGGTATGTGTCCTGAAAGTGTAGGCCTATTGTACTAACTTTACATTTATACTCTTTCTATCATTTTCTTTCCAAAATTCGAGGCATATTCAATATAATTTAACATTATTAGTACTGCGTACTTAATATTATTAGTACAACGTATTTAATATCTTCGGTAAGTTCTTATAGCTTTGATTGATAGATATTAATGTTCAAGCATTGATAGGATTACAATTACGGGGTTGCAGTGTGTTGTACAACGGGTTTCTACCACCTAAATTTTCATGGCAAAAGGGGATGCTACTTTTTTCGGCGAGGGACCTTATCATTAATCAAACAATTAATGCCCACAACTACAATGCACTTGACCTTATATTATTTTCAAGGGCAGGACTCTTTGAAGGCATCATGGCATCTACCTTTGAATAGACCATATGGAAAACCATAGAATTTGTAAAATAAGTTGTTTGACTATATATTACTAGCAATTTCAATTCGTTTTTACCACACTAAAAACGGTGTTTCCTTTTTTCTTTGTTTGCTTTTATAAGCCAACACTCAAAACGGGTTCAAAATGGAGATATAATATGAAGATGTGGACAAGTCCCAAAATGGAGCAGTGTAAATAGAAATCTGAGATCCATTAATCTCCGTCAAGTACTAGTACTAGTAGACCCACTCCACTACAGTACCAACCCGACAACTAGATAGATGAGCATTGAATAATGTTCCCTTTTTTTTTTCTTTTCTTCCTTCTTGGCACGAGTTGGTATTGAAAAAGGATGAATTGCTAGTTTCAATTATCCTTTTTCTTTCTTATGGCAGATTTTTCCTTTGGTGACAATAAGAACCGTGGTGTTGAACATTGCTGTCTGTTTGCGCTGCTAAAAGTGTCACTTGAAAAAATATACACATATAAAGTCTCAACGCCATATGGAAAAAATATTTATTCCCACCTAGAATCAAATATGATTTCACGTGTAAAATTTTACAATTTTATGAGAAACAAAATTGTTTATGTTATGAGTGAACACCAACTACGGGGTAAGAGTTACAAGTGTTTGGGATATACAAAGGTTGGGTGTCGTTTTGGTAATGACAGTACTGTATAGCTTTGAGTATATGGAATGATGAATGTGTTATTAGGTTTTGCTCTTTCACTAAAGCTCAATGGGGCTTAGTATGTAAGAAGAGCTCAAGAAACTTAAAGCCTATTCTATTTAGGGTTAGGGTTTCTTGGAATCCATATATATTCTATACTTATAGTCATCAGTCTCTCTACACACTTTCCATTTTTCCTTGAGACATAGTCTGAAATATATGCGCTACAAGAGGTAATTGTAAACAATGACGATCCTTTACATCCAAACCACAATGGTCTAAATGCTTCCGCATGATCTAATTGCTCCTACAATTGGTATCAAAGCCGAATTGCGTGGCTGGATGTGGATCTAGTTTTAATTTACAATTTCATGTAATTAGTTTTGCTTCATGAAATATGGCACCAAGGGTTTCTATGTTTATGGTATGGATCTTGCATGTGTATCTTATAATTTTTTTCATTAAAAATCAATCCTTTATTTGGTTTTGACTTTAATACATGGTAGAAATTTCATTGTATTTTCCTGGGTTGTAACAAGGTAATCTCATATGATTAGGTTTCCTCCTTGAATTTTATTTCAATTTTGTATATTTTCGATGTATTTCAAATTAAATTGTAATGAAAAAGACCAAGAAAATGCAAAAAGGATGACGTTCATCGCTGTTTGGACATGTTCGTGACTATCCGGTGGACGGAGATATATTTTGTATAATTTTTGGATGGACGGAGATAAATATATCTCAAACTGCTTGAGAAATATTTTTTCACACATACACACACATTCAGATATGTGTGTGTGTGGATTATATATATGTGTGTGTGTGGATACACACACACATATCAAACTGTTTGAGAAATATTTTTCATATATATATATATATATATATCAATGCCAGTGTATTAATTGTTGCTTGATTAAGATGAAACTCTGTCCGCGTTGATTAAGATGGAGCCCTCATTTTATTTCGAAAAAATAATTTCTCAAATGTTAAGTTAAAATGAAAAAAAAAATCATATTTGAAAGTCTTAAAAAGATTCACATGAAACAGATGAAAAATATTAATTAATAAAAAAATAAATGTTAATGTGTTATTAATAAATGACGTAACATAATTTGGTCATTGGAAATATATACTTCCTCCGTGACCATTATTTATAAAGGGAAAATTATTTGTTATTTTAAATGAAATAATTTTGTCTCATTTTAAATGACATAACTTTGTGTCATTTTTAATTAAACTACGTCATTTTGGTGTGTGAGCCCTGACCGTGTTGATATGACAAATAGAATTCTCTTTGAGTCGGAGTTGTTCTATAATTTCACAAATATGATTTCATCAAACCAGAGCCTATTATACTGTGAAAAAGAGGAAGAAGAAAATGAAATGTCAACAATCTTCCTAATATTATTTATAAATTTGCTAATATATTAGTCAATCAATTTAATTATAAATAATAATTATAATCACATCGATAATCTAATTTATAATTATAATCACATCGATAATCTAATTTATAATTACATCGAAAAATATAATATCTATCACTAATTCATAAATAAAATTTATTTTTTGAATTATTTTTTTATCACGATTTTCGACGTATGCACATGCACATGCATACTTCTTTCAACGATGTATGTTTTAATGCATCGTGGAAATAAGAAGTCAACAGAAATCAACATAAGTTACCAAGACTGATTATTAGAATACTATTGATTATTCACTAGGGTTATCAATATTTCTCTAATTAGTAACTTTCTCAACATTTCTTTTACATTTATTTTTTTATATAATTTCTCAATTCCGTCAA